CTCTCTCTCTCTCTCTCTCTCTCTGCTTTCAAGCAGATTTTACGCGATTTTCAGCGTAACCACATCCACCGAGCATATTCACGCGTGCCAGGCAAATCGCATAACGACTGTTGCCCAAGTTTTCTCTCAGTATTCTCTCAGTCTCTCAGTCTTTGAATGTTTCCCAACCGTCTCGCACGTCACCGAAACGGTCCTTAAGATTTCGCCTTCGTTCCATCAATATCGAAATAATGTCGGCATCTCCGAAAGCGATAAGTTAAGTTCATATCGATTATTGATTATCACGATCAATGGAACCATTCCATCCGTCCGAGCCACTAAAAAGTCACTCGCCCCTTATTATATGTCGTATAGCCTTTGTTGACACGGATAGAATAACGAATGGCCGAAACAAGTATATTATCGAAACGTGGGAAAACAATATGAAATTTTGAACCGATTTTGGAAGCGAGGGCTACTTTATTTACTAATGTAGAAATTAAATGTTTAACAGCAATCTAACGAAGACGTATCACAGAGAGAAAACAATTTGTCTTTGACCCTCTATAGATTCTTTTTTAAATTTACTTTATTAGTTTCGTAATTACAATTACTACAATTACTTATAGTACACAGATTCAATTGTTGACTTATATATCAAACCGGGATATATGAATTGTAATAATCCACTAATGAAAAGTATTCCTTTGAATATAAATTGGTAAAATTATATATAATTAATTTTTAATGAAAAAATGAGATAAATGCTTTAGAAATAACTCTTCAATTCAGATCTCCTCTGTTGTTCTTCATTCTGGTTTGATTGTGGATTACTAACTCCCTGTCGGTTTGCGAAACGGTTCCTAAATCTCCTGTCATCCTTCACTTGTTTTCTATTCATCATTATCATGGGTCTCAATAGAAATTCTTCCAGGGTATACTTTGGCAAATAAAAATTATACATTAACGACAAACATAGTTACAGGTTATTGAAAAATTTCTAAACTTACAGCTGTTTGAATAATATCCTGTTTCTTTGCTTGATTTATTAATCCCAGTAATTGTCTGGTTTCTTCCGTATCGACTTCTTTTATTTTTTCTTCTAATTCACATATCTGTAACATTGATATAAAAAAATCAGTTCATACAAATACCAATATCGAGTTGAATTAAATTTACACCTTTAAATTTAAATTTTAATTTTACGTACCACATCTGCAAAAAAGAGATGTGGTTTAAAAACACCAATTTCTTGTTCTAACGTGTACTTCATAATAGGGATTATTTGTACGTATCTTCCCAAATGAGCATAAGCCATCATTTTAAGACCTCTAACACTCAGGATTCTATCTATTCTTACTGTACTTAATATGTCCAAAGCTATTTCAGGTTTTTTATGTTTCATTGCTAACATTGCTATTAATGTATAACATCTTACTGAAGGTGGTACTTTATCAAACTGTTGTTTCCAATGGTCTAATGCATATTCTAATGACTCTGAGGTATTCTACATAAAAATACATACACGAAACGTTAATCAAGAATATTAATCGAATTAATAATGCATAGAATTATTAATTGAGAATTACTATTACCTCCTTCAAACACGCAGCATAAATTAATACACTGGAACTACCAATAAACTCTATGCCCTTCTTTTCCAAGACTTGATCGTATACTTCTCGCATTTGCGCAAACATATCATTTTTATAGAGCAAACACATTAAAATACGGAAGGACGTGCGATAATCAAAACTGTCTTTCAAAGATTCATTTTGAATTGCATTTAAAGCATACTGCGGTTGATTCAAATAATAAAACATTCTCATTATGACTGGCCCAAACACGTATCTACCATATTTCTTTTCTTCAACATTCTGTACATATTTCTCCATCATAGAATTTACTAAATTCATTTCACTTTCTTCGGCTTGTGCCAAATGTATCATTGCCTTTAAATCTTCTGTATATATTATCCCTTTCTCGTCCTCACAAATTTCCTTCATTTTCTCACGAAACGCATTTTCTATTGTCATAAACTGATTGCGGAACGTAAATCTTGAATTCTCATACAACGTTATACCTAAATCTCGTTCCGTGTAAAGATGCCGAATTCCAACTATAAAAAAATCAAAAAATAAACGTAGTCAGAAATCAACTTCAGAAGCTTTGAGGAATCAATGCTTGAAACAACATTCCTCTCGTGATAATTTTCATAAATTAATTTTCACGACGCGGTAATTTTCCAACTTACTATTACGACTTAAATTTATATAGTACAGATTTAGGTTAGGAATATTACATACCATTTATAAAGTTATATTTAAATAACAAGTTATTTGTCAGAGAAGCATTTAATTTATAGAATCCCCTTATGCTGGCCGCCATGGTTTAACAAACAAATAAATATTTTATAACAAATGTATATCTTCGAGATAATCAATTTCTCAACGATCCCTTCACCGTGCAAAATGCGAACATGAGAAAACGATATTCTCTACGACGGAAGTGATAACAGTGAAAACCACGTGGTTTCTAAATTTATGGACAACTATGATCAATGATACAATTAAAATATTGTCGATACTCCGTCGTAATGATTACATTAGTCTTTTGCATAATATAAAAATAATTGTGCTTGTTTTTATATTGTTTCCGTGAAATGAAACTAAACTCACAAGTAAATAAAATATTTTGGGGGAAAACAACTAATCACACTTACAATACGTACAGTACGTAATTTGTTTTAAAATATATATCTTTACAAGATACAGAATAACTCTTTAATTAAAAAGCAATTTGATTCTAATTACCCCATTATTTATTTAACATTATGTTAAGCATATTAACTTTTTACATAACACATTACCTAATAGTATCTAACAAGATATCTAAAGATACATATGTATATAAAAACATATATAACTAACCCTTAATCTTTTTTTTTGATATTTCTAAATCAAATCAAAGTAAAAATATCATGCTTTCTTAATTGAAAACTTATAGCTTTTTAAAATGAGGAATAACACTTTCTTTTCTATTTTATTTATTTTTATTAACAATTATTCTGCGTTGTTCTTTTCATAATACTAATCTAAAGAATAAATTGTAATTTATTTATTCAATTCTTATTATTACTTTATATTGTATAATATATTATATCACACGTTACTACATCACTTAATACTTCTATGCTTAAAATTATTTGTCAGTTATTCGTATTTGTTAAATGTTTTACATTCATTACAGTTTCATTACACCATCTCTAGATGTATGTCAATTTAAATATCTTGGTTACTAATCCTTTTTCAGGGATTACTTAATTAAATGAATATCATTTGTTCTAAATCTATATAATTTAATGAAACTTACAATAGACGAATAATGCAGGTTTCAATTCTATTGGAATAATTTAATTAACTGAATTAACAGAAGAAAAACAAAAAATTTTGCAAGCAATTTAACATACAAATAGCAAAGGAAAGAAATTACTTCAATGTATTCTCAGATATACGCAGTTGTTTGTCACTTTTTCTCTTTAATTGATACTTATTTGAAAGAACAACATTACGTAATGTGGAGTGAAGAAATCTTTTATTAATAGATTCTTTTGGTTTTATCCATCCGCTAGGACCCATTATTTCTGCCCTTTTTGCTCCAAGCTTTGCTTCTTCTAATAATGCCTCAACTGCAAGTCTAAAAATAAAATTACGTTATCTAAATTATTTACTGGACAATAATAAATAATTTTAAAAATTATGGGTGAATATTAATTAATCTTGTACGAGCTTAAATGTTAGTTTACGATTTGGAAAATATCGTATTATTTCTATCAAATGTATATGTAAACTTGAAGTTAACCTTCGTATTTCAAGATATTTGATATATAAAAATATAACGATTTAATATTCGTATATTCAGGTATAAACTGAGGTATAAACTCACTTGTTTAATGTTTCATCGTCCATTTTAATAGTATTTAACAATTCTTTTTATTCTCCCACTTAAAACATAAAACTTTTTCATTAACTTATGTTTCTTATAAGTCGAATGAAATTATTTCTCAATGATAAATTAATGATAGATTTTGTATAATTTTTTACTGTATATAAAATAAATAAATAGTTATCATGTAAATTACTTATATCAAAAATGAAATGTTACGTTTTACATACTTTTGTACTGACATAAACACGGATATGCATGTAAATTAAGGTTATGTTTATGCCAAGTTATATACGATTACGAACATCCATATTTATCTATTTCCACTTGTGATATTTAATTTGCAATTTTTTCATAATCAAGGAGATACTAGCTATAATTTCAAGAATATAATTTAATAATATTAATAATTTATTTTTCAGCATATTTTTTAATACAATTTCTAAATTTTATGTGTAAATAATCCTAAAATTGCTTGTGATTCTATTGAATATATATTATTCTTTTAGTGTATAAAGTAAAATTTGTAGAAAAATTGATTTATTTAATCATTTAATAATTTACATCTAATTTTATTTTAGGATAATGGAAGATCCTGAATTGATTGCACTAAATAAATTAAAAGATGACCTTATTGCAAAAGCATATAGTTTGATTGAGAAATTACAAAAGCAGGATAGTCAGGAACAAGTTGTTACATTAAAGTTGTATCATATTTACTCTTTTATATCATATTTGCTTGTTTGCTTTTATCACTTGCTTGAAACATTAACATATATTATTTTAACATCAGATTACCAGAATGTACTGATAATATAGAAGAAAAATTACAAGAACAATGTGAACGTAGAGTATGTGAACTTTCTCGCCAAATTTCTGGCATAACATTTGAAAATATAGATAAAAAATGGTTACATGATAATATTTATAAATATACAACTTATTTGGTAACAAAAACATTAAATTTTTATATAGACTTGACAGTAAAATTGGAGGTATATAACACATTAATACTCTTTCTTCAGAATGAACTGTTTTGATATATTATCTTTATTTTATCATAGGATGAAAAAGAATTTGAAATTTGCGACATAACATGTCATTTTATAAACATTGATAAATGCTATATGTTGGAAATTGAACCTTGGATTCAAAATATGACAAAAATGAAAAACTTCTCATTTCTTACATCTGGTAATTTACAAATTGTATAATTTTTTTGAAAAAAATGAATAAAGAATATTGTTAAGTATTTGTTTTAGCAATTTCACAATACAACGAGCAAAGTATTCTAAGAAACAAGATACTTGAGAAGATGGTTGCTGAGAAGTATGTAAGCTATAAACAGTGTACGGACGAAAATGGTGGAATTTTGATAGATGTACATTCAACTGAAAACAAAAAACAAGTGTATTTGGTATTTCAGTGGTCAGTACTGTTTTTGGAACGATATTGGCGAATCGAACATCATTTTATTATAAATCCTGAAGAAATAGGTAATAAATTAATTAATATTCTCATTTTCTCTGGAGTACATCGTAGTTTTGAAATTGTAGGAATACCATTTGCAGAAGAAAATCAAACTTTGTTAATGAAATTTTGTGAACCAAATCTTACAAAAGAGAATCTTATTGATCTATGGAACAATTTGTGCCTTGCTATTGACGTATACGAAGATAAAAATCATTAGAAAACAATTAATAAATTATTATCCAGTAATGTATTCATAACGAAATCAATAAACATTTATTTTACATTTGTTTATATTGTAAACATTGTTATACTTTATATTGTAAACACTTATGCAGGTTAGGTTTAGAAGCACGAATTAGTGAAATTGCTTCTTTTTATGGTATTATGTTTTTCTTGTACTCGCATTAAGATTTGTACTCGTATTTAATAATTATTGTTTATTTCGAACAATATTTTCCATTCCTCTCCTTATAATCATAAATAAGAAACTGGAAAGTAGAAATCCCCAGTGGCGCAATCGGTTAGCGCACGGTACTTATAAGACAGTAAATTTGTGAGCAATGCCGGGGTTGTGAGTTCGAGCCTCACCTGGGGAAATATTTTTTTATGTCTTTTTTTTTTATTCAAATATCTGAAATACATCTTGTATGTATATTTAATTATTATATGCTGATAACTATCGTATTAAACATCAAGATAAAAAATTTAGTCTCTTTTATTTTTACTGTATTGTAATTTCTGCCCTTTAAATTCTCATTAATACAACATTAAACCAGTGTAACATATCATTTTGTAACAGTTTTATTTAAATGCATACATTGTTTACAAATTAAATAACTATATGATACAAATAAAATAACTAAAAGACGTTAGCCTGCAGCTTCTGTCTTTGTTTCTGGCTCTAAATTTTTATTTGTTTCAGTTTCTGCAGCAGCTTTCCTTCGATTTCTCCATGCTTTCATATAAGTTCTTGGGTGTATTGGAAAGAAACCACAAAGTCCTAACATTATTGCCACTGGTTTTGACACTGATGCCTGTTGCCCTAGCCAATATTTTATTCTCTCAAAATTTAAAGAAATTAATTTTTCGTTATATTTGTTTGGCAGAGGATCATAGCTGCCTAATTGTTCTATCGGAGCTTTATGCTGCCCAATTTTAGTCTGAAATAAAATTGGGTCATGTCATAAACATTGTTACACACCATAAAGAAACTATTACAAAATTATAATGAAAAAAATGCAACTGACAGATAGGAAAATGAAAAATGTCGACGATTTGCACAATTACAAAATTGAACGAGCAAAATTTTGAAAGGTAGTTAAGAAAGTGTTACTTACGGTCATAACAACAATATGATAAAAAGGTCTATTGGCACATCCGTAGCGAGCAAATCGTATCGTTTTAGCAAACTTATTCGAAATACCAATCCCTGATGAGGGATGCAGAGGTAATCGTGGCATTTTTGAAAATGTTTGTCAGTCTGAATTACGTTACAACACGAGACAACAGTTCTGTATTTATAACCTCATTGGAGGTTATGTTAGGTAAGTCTAGCCGGTTAACCTATTGAATTTTATATCAATAACTTAGAATTTATATCATGATATTTAACCAATTGTTACAATAATGGCAATTGATATAGAGAGAATTTATACTTAAAACTAATTTGTTTCAATTAATTTTCTTAATTTGTTTAAATTGATAATCATTCATTTATTTACAAGACTATTGAATAGAAATTGACGAGGAATACAATATATAGAGTATACTACATGTATCGTTCAAAAATATAATTAATGTTCAGTAAAAAACTACTAAACATCTCTGTTTAACCGAAAGCCAAGTGAACATAAGCAATCGAACGTTACGATTGAAATAATTAAAATTATACCATAAACTAAACGCAGAATGGAAACACTTAGTGGGAGACAATGGACCAATATTTTACCGCCATCTGGTAACAAATGAAGTAAAATAATTAATTAAATTAAATGCAATTTATAATTTTACGCGTAAACATTAAACTGTTTTACATCTTAAAAAACCTACATTAATTTTTAATTTATTTATAAGACTATTTAAATTACAAAATTTCGATATATTTCGCAATTAAAACAAGTATACAAGCATTTACGAATAAATTTCAGCCGTTGATAAATATTTTAATTTTCATTGTTGTAAATAGCGTTGTAAATTGTTATACACGTTTGCTATTTATACAAAAGTACATAAAAACCATGTCATTTGTAAAATTAAAACATCAAATACAATATAAATACAATATAAAACGTCAAATAAGCGTAATTGTACGATGAATCGAATGGCACGTAGTTTTTAGGTCAGCGCATGTGCAGCACGGCAACACGTGAATCCCCACCCCTCTCCCCGGTTGCCGATCGCTACTTCCCAGCAGTTGCCTTCGGTCATCAATCAGTCTATGCTGGAGAGCGCTCGGGTTAAGGTCGGTCTTAGTAAGTACAACTGTATCATCTCGTCTGTCAGTCTGACACGCACAGCTGTGTAGTGTGTACCAGAAGTGTAGTGTAACACAAATTTGTTCACGATTTCTTCTACACACGGTAATTCTTAACGTATTACCAAACTTACACAGGATTATAACTCTCGATTTCACGTGCGGCGAGATATACGGTGAATTGTCGGTGTTCGCGTTCCGAGCGACGTGGCTCTGAGAAATAAGTGAAAACCACAAGAGCAGCCAAGGATTCGTTGAATCATTTTCTCATCGTCGGTCGTTGGTTGTGCCACTAGATCGGTTTTTTCGTTCGCTTGCTCATTAACATCCGAGTTATCATTTCGAAAGAGAATAGCTTGAAGATATCAGCTTCAAACAGCAGCTTTGAGCTCTTTCTTTTTTGCACGTGAACGATATTCGTCGGGATATATATTCAAGAATCATGACCGAGGCGTCGAGAGTGAAATTCGCACTTGGAAACCAGGTGTCTCCGCGACACTTTTTCAAAAGTAGTTTCGCGCGTTCTTTCGTCACTAACTGCCGCGACTCGAGGTCGCTGGATTACGGGTTCCTCAACCATACGACGAACACCGAAGAGACCAGCGGCGACCATTACTATTCCCTAGTCAATCTGGAAACGGCGAACATCGTGAACGATGTCTTGGGCAAGGAAAATCCGGAAACCGACAAGGTAAATATCCGTCTGTTTCTCCTTTTCTTTTCTCATCAATTAACCAAGTGTGACCTGTGTATGTATGTGTGTGTACGTTCTGTCGCGAATAAAACACGTTTCCTACGCGACGTGCGTAGATTAAATATAGATTATTTATTATGTTATGTGAAACGGCCGTTACGTGGTCTGGTACAGCTTTTTTTTTTTATATTAGTTACGCGAATCGTTCCTTGTATCGATTATCGGTCGCGTACACCACGGCAGACGAATAATTTCACGGAAGTTATTTAGAGGTTAATTTCTACATTTAGAAGTAATCGTGGTGCTTCCGTCTAATGTTGTGTTTCCTGTTTTGCAGCCCGTGCAGTCCTCGGAGCACATCAAAGAGGTGGAGAAGCTCAGGAAAGTAAGTGCATTTTGTTGGTTATGTAGTGTAATTTTTCTCACGCGTTGTGTGAGCTTGGAAGGGAAAACTTTCTTCCCCCCTGAAATTGTGCTCTCCGTGAATTCGATAAAGACCACAAGAACGGTGGTAACGTGCCAGTGTTCCATAATACAGTTAGAAGACAACAGTTACTGCTTCGTTATTACGAAAATTTGAATCCTGAAGGGATTTGCCCCCGATTCGACTATTTCGGATGAAAATATTCTTGTGTCGCGTGTGATTTAGTTTAGTATCTAGAGCCGCGCATGCGCGCCGTCGAATTTACGTAGGTTTGGGGCGGTTTGCTATTTGGCAGCACTGCGATCGAGTTTTTTCTCACCTGGAAGAGCAACTTTTTGCCCGGCGAACCGGCATTCGTTCTGTTTCGATTGTTTCTGCGAAACAATTCGAGAAGCGTGAATCGTTTCTGTCGGCTCGGAAATAAAGAGACAGAGAGAAAGAGAGAGAGAGGGGGGAGGTTTGCCTCGACTGCGAAAACGATATATTTCCGCGACAATACTGAAAATAAACCGGCCTCGCCAAACTGCCGGCGAGATGTTTCGCGACCAACCGGTAGTCAGGTCAGTTCAGTTATTTTGACATTTCTGTTTTCCCACTGTCTGTGTTATCTTCCACGAATTTCGCCGCTTTCGCCCTGCCGGTTATTATCGTCGTTAAGAGCTTACATAACCTAATATAATAACTCGGAGATTTCTCGAATTCTCGGCCGTTCGATCGAATCGAATTCGACCGAAAGTCGAGAGTCGATTCGAGATTTTTTTTTTCAGCGGGACGCAAAAATAATTCGAACGATCTTGGAAGACTAACATTTGCAGAATATTTGTTACATTTTTTTTTTTTTTATCCAATTGAATGTAACATTTGTTATATTAATATACAACGTAGTGTAATTAGTATAACTATATTATACTACCATGTTAGCAAGTTTTATCGATGAAAATGTATACATATGTATTACGTGTTAATAATGCCCAATTTTCTGATTGAAATTTTGATAAGAATTTAGGCTAAGCTGTGGGACTTAACGAGCTGTTGAGTAATACAAGACATAAACCTAGTTCGACCAGCTTGATCGATGAAAATGGCAGCCAACCTAATACGGTCAATGTCGCGTTGCTAATGTTAAAACATTCAGTGTAATTCGATCATAGGAGAAGAACCGTATAAAATCATCACACGTACTTTCTCAGCCGATGATGAAGGTTCTGTTACTGTTAAATATCTTTGAACTTCCGGTGATTCAACACGCTCACCGTTCTAATCATTTTACCTGATGCGATTGATAATTTTTTTTTTTTTTTTTTTTTTTTAATAGAACTAGGGACGCAGATTTATTGTGAAAAAAATTCTCAGCTTTAATCGCCACGATCGAGATATATTTTTGGACATAAAATTTCTGGAGAGTCTCCGTAAAA